GGTGGGTGAAATGAGGACCCAGACTGTGGGGGCGATATGCTGACTCTGTAAACCGCTTAGAGAAGGCTGAAAGCCCTATGAAGTGGTATATAAGTTTAACTGCTATTGCTATTGCTACTTGCCAGTTTCACCATTGATTTTGCTTGCTGGAAGCTGGCTGGCCAAGGTCGCAGATGATAATCATGTGATCACAAGATGCTGCAATTGTCATGTGAGCTGGTTGCCAAGCACCCAGAGGTGGTATTTACCAGTTCTCCAAACCAGGTCAAATTCCCATTACCAGTTCTCCTAAACCAGTCTGAACCAGCTGAATACCATCTCTGGCTGCCAAGCACCCAGATCACAACCATGTGACTGCAGGGATGTTGTAATAGTTAAGTGCAAGGACTGGTCACAAGTCACTTTTTCGGCATCATAACTTTTAACAGTCCCTAAATAAATGGTCAAAAGTCAAGGACTACTTAGAAGGCTACCTCGCCAAAGGACAAGACACTAGGAATGTCTATGTGAAAAAGCAAAGCATTAAGGGAGAAACGTACTTAAATCTAGGCCAAGAATAGGCAATTTGCAGCACTTCAGATACTGATGATCTGCAACTCCCAGAGGAGGAATTAAAATATGGCATTCCAAATATTAAAGAGCCAAGGCTTAAAATTTGCAACAAGATCCCATGGATTCTGACAATCTGGAACTAGGGATTAGATTATAATGTCTCCCATCATGGTAATGATGAGAGCCAAGGCTTTGCAGGGCGAGGCCCCACCAAAATCCAAGCTATAGACCATCAACTGAAACTGGAGGGAGATGGAATACAGGAAACTACTGAATTCAATACTGTTCAGAAGGCTTACACCTTGCTGGTTAACTTTTCATAAGAATGTTACTTAGGTCTACTGGCTTCTGCTTCTTCTCTTTGCTGGCATCCTGCCATAAACGCAGGGGGGGGGAAAGGAATTTGGGGTAGTTCGGGTATGGGAATAAGAAGACAAATGGCAGGGGAGATACATTGATAAATATAAGAGGTGCCAAACCGGAATAAGCCAGCCACCAGGACACCTGGCCTGGGAACAGAATGTGAAGCTACATCGAGAGGCACCAAGCATCCAAGCAGTTCCCAAAACATCAAAACGGCCTATCATTGGACAGATCAAGGGGGGGGGCAGGGAAAGGGGGGAAGAGTGTAACCTTTGCACAGGAATACTCAGATCTAGCTTTACTTTCACGGCAACCACTTAACTTTTATAAAAGAACCTATCACTTCAACCAAATGGAGTCGAGGGTCTGTCTTTCCTAAAGACCTAAGTTGGGGCAGGTCTGACACACCTCATTCTTTGTGCTTAGATTCTTTTGCCTGTTTTATGTTAACCTGGTCGTCCTGCATCAAAACCTTTGGGGCTTTGATGAGAGAATGGATGCTGTAACTCTGAATGGTACTTTTAGCTCTAGTAGCACTAGTGAAACAGTTTGAACCTAACTCTTGATTTTAAAACCTGGATTTTCCAATATGTAAATTTCTTCATTGCAACTCTAACTTCTTAAGCAATGAAGACATTCAACAAAAAGAGCTTAGCTACTGCTTCCATTGTTTGCTTTGAGCTGAGGATGAAAAATAAATGAACAGCTTATTTGGAGTTCTCCATGAAAGAGTATTAAGAAGAAGTCAAGTTTCATTCCAGTTGACCATAGAAAACTCAAAATTGGGATGTTTTGAGTTGTTTTGTTCTAAGCTCAAAGGGAAATGTTGGGAGTTTGTTTCAAGTCTAGTTCAGTCAATCTATCCCCTGGTAACATACAGCTGGGAGAGGATGGATGTTGTAATCCAACACAAGTGGACGTGGAGAGGAACCAAGTGAGGGAGGATAATTTGGGTTAACATGAGTGCAAGCAGCAGATCTTGATGTTTGTAAGATCTGGACTTTCACAAAATGGAAACCAAGTCTGTAACAAATGTTTAACGGACTAAGATTTCAACTGGACATAATTTCATTGTCAGGGAACAACGTCTAACATAGGAAAGAACAGATTTCATTAAAAAGGCTAGAAACTGGCTCCTCACCTCTGACTTGAAAGGTTTTAAATTTGAAATCATATTCATCTTGAACATCCTCGAGATTTTTTATCATTTGCTCTATTTCCTAGAAAACAAATAAGACATTCATCAGACATTCAAAATCACTTAAAAGCAAAATGGTGGCATTTATGAAAAGAAATGTAATGACTTCAATGATTTATTTTACTATACTGTTATCAAAATAGGCCTTTGCTCCCCTATTTTATCTTTATTACAAAGTCTTCAGATAGGTTCAATCAAAAAATATGGCCAAAGCAAGGTTAGCCAGTGAATTTCAGGCTTATCGGAGGCTTATCAGAGTAATAGATATGAACCAAAGGATCCTTTGTCCCAGTTAAACCAGAATATTCACTGGAATAGTCAGGAATAGAAACCTGCTGCTGTCTAAATATCAACCACTGATTATACTGAGGTTTGGATAGATTTAAATTCAAGATGTCTGGCAAATGCTACCTTGTAATAGGCATCAACTAAGTTCATCAGGCTGGAGAAGGCTATGTTACATGTATCCCTTTCCTACCTCTGTGAGTGTCCCACAATCAACTGGTGCTAAAAAATATGACTACTCAACAAGTTTTGTCAGGTGACAATAGAAGTAAGTAGATTTTGATAATAGCGTTGGGAGACTAAAATCTGTCCATTGTTCCCAGACAGCCACTCAATCCTTCTTCAATGTAGCTTCTCTTTGCACATTCCCCAATCTCTGCATCTGAACCAATAATGCATCTCCCTTTGAGTTATGATATGGCAAAAATAAAAAAAATTCCAAGGACCAACTCTTTTAACGTACTATGACACGGTTCTTCACATTTGTGACTTTAGCGTCCAACTCTTTCACTTTGCTCAGCATCGCAGAATTTTGTACGCTGTCTATTTGCATCTGGAATTTGAAATGAGAAAAAAATATATATCAAGAATTAAATGTATCATGATGTAGAATCCCCCCTAATAAGGAAAATCTCCACAGCAGGAATATTTCATGACCTTTCTTGGGTTAGTTCCTTGCTTTCCATTCTGAGGAAATGCTAAGTTTGGGTAGACATGTTAATATTTGAAAGTGAAGTCCATCATCTGTACTGAGGCTGCACAATGTTCAATACAGGATGTTCTCCTCCAGGCATACAGATGATAACCTACCTGATCTGTGGCCTCTGCAGCTTTAAGGATATTCCTTTCTTCTTGGAGACATTTGGAGATCATCAAGGCCATATATGTGGGTTCTTCCACAAAAGTATTCTGGATTATAGCATAAAATATAAGTGAGGGACTTACAGGGTGGATAAAAATTGATGATTTTTTTTTAAAATAAAAAAATCAGGTTTATAATTTTTTTATCAAATTTATTTTAATAAAATGCCTCTAAAGTAAAAAATCTATCTAAAGATAATTTTCTATTTAAGATACATTAATAATTTAGTTTATTCAGCATGAAATGGAGCTTAGTTACGTAGCATGAGGCTGTATGTTCTGCAATATTGACATTTTTGGTAAACTCATTCAATGAATCCAAGCTCTGAAAGCTGAGATAACATGCACCGCATTGATGCATTCACACAATTCCATAGTAACCATGAGATAAATCATAAAACAAAGTTCAGGAATATTCCTTTATCCCATTTTTTGCAAATCTATGTACACTACAAACTGTATGATTGTTTGAAGAGAAATGCATCTATCTACCACCAGGCTCTTAAGTGTGAGGAGGAAGGGCAAGCAGTAAAAATCAAAATGAAACCTTCTAAGCAGCTTATAAATATAATATTAAAGAGCACCTGTCATTTCAAATCCATCATGGCAGCGCCTGTTAGCGGACATCCACTTCCTGCCTGCCTAACTTGTTGTGTCACTGCCACATCACCAGCTGTCCCATTAAAGTGAATGGGACTGTCGGTGAGTCAACAGCGGATCAGAGGAGAAACAGCTGTGGGACAGAGATGACAGTTGCTCTTTTAAAAAATTGTGATTTAAATCCAGTTGATTTAAGTCAAGCCTTTTTACTAGTGATTTAAATTGTGATTTAAATCCAGTTGATTTA